CCCCCCCCTCTTTTTCTCTCCTCTGCCGCGAGTATTTCGTTCTACCGTCGTGCCACGGATACATTTTCGTCCCTGCGTTATCCGTTTTCTTTCTTTCTTCAACGAGCATTGTCTGCGGACAGTGGCGCGATGCGTCGAAAAAGAAACTTTGCGAAGGTTTCTAGTACGAATTTCCACACGCGTGTATGGATTAAACTGTTTGGGATGCCTTGCACCGAATCAACTGGCCAATTTAATTAATCTTGCAATCATTAGATCTCAGATAGTTATTGATCTTTTCTGTCGAAATCGAATTCATTATAATTTTCTGGTCGAGGATAGGACAGTTTCACGACGAGAAAATTGAAATACTCCTTACTATTTCACTGCGTAATTCTTAACGCGCTAGTAACTCCCCTCCCCCTCAAGAATAATAATTTTTTTTTCACGTAGAAAGAGCCATCCAGTGCAAGATAAACGTTGCAACACGCCGTTTGAAAATATTCCCAGCGACTGAGAAACGGAGAATAATCTGATTAAATCTGGGCATCTAGTTTTTTTCATACCCTGTATGTTGGAAGCACACGCACGCGTGTAACTACACGCGACCATCCGTACACATACGCATGCATTCTTATTGCCGCGGTGGTGTACCAGCGGTGTCCGAGTATTTACCTCTAGCAAGGAACCCCGGGCTGTACGTACAAATGTCACCGTAAAATTGCTTTTTAATTATCGTCCAGAGGATTTTGCTTATTACGTGATATTCCATTCTTTCGGCTTGAGACAGGATTTTCCGTTCCGCGGGCTTCGACCTTGGAACGCCATTTCACGAGTAACCACTTTTAATTTAGATAAGATGGCCTCTTTCTACTGGATGGTATGTAGAGAAGCTCGCGTAAGCTGGGCGAATTGCCCTGCCATAAATCGAAAGAATCTCTCTCACCTTCTTTGTTCCCTTAACGCGCCGGGACTACCTACGATTAAAGTGTAAAACTGCCCCGAAGGAATCAAAATAAAGGATAGTTGAAAAAAATCCTCGAAAATTCTCTCTCTGTCGTAAATTTATGAAATTCGACAGGTTGGTGGTTCAGTGACAAAGGAAAGAGAAAAAAGTGATAAACAGATGAGGCATTTCAAAATTTTTCCGAACGCTCGGAGAAACGAAAGAGGAAAAAATACGGGGGAAGAAACGACAGTCGAATGCAATTTTTTCCCTCGCAGATCGCTCGACGATTCCGGAATATAGGAAAGAATTAAAAGTTGAAGGTGAGGAGGCGGCTGGTAGGCAGGCGGCTTGTTATCTCGGCTAGAAGGACGGGCAATTCGTTAGAGCGGCGGTAAATTCGCGAATTAAAGAACTTATTCCATTTGGGCAGCCAAAGGGGTGTGAACGCTTCCTCGTTCGTATTATCTCGCGTCGAGCGAGAAGAACAAAAAGGGTGGCGGTGGTGCAGGTAGAGGGAAACAGAAAGGCGAGGACCAACGACGGTAGGGAATAACCTGTACGAACGACGAGAGGGCGGGGGTTGGGTGGGTGTCAGTGGGGTCGGTTGGAAGGAAGACGAAGGGAGAAAGAGTAGAGAAAGGGACAGAGAGGACGCGTTTAGACGTTCGTTCCGCTGGTAACAAAGATAACTCTATGCAATAAAAATGATTCAAAGTTTCCCGCGGCGGATGGTGGTTCCGATGGCGGAGCGGTTGACAATAGCGCGTCTTTGTCTCCGCCCCACACCCTGATGCTGCCCCGCGCTGCCTCTTTCGCCCTCCTCATCTCGTTGCCACCCTCCTCTCCACCCTTCTACGCTGCCTCGTCCGTATCCTGCGACACCTATCTTCCGGTTTAAAGTCCCGCCGTGCGCGCCAGGGAGGAACCTCGCTAACTTTTATTATTTACGACCGATATTTCAGTCGGCCAACGCGCATGCACGTACCGGCGATAAAGTGGCCCTTGGGACTCGGCGACCGTCGTTCAATTGACTCTTAGAAAAATTACCGAACGAGCCCGCGATCGTCGAGAATCGTTGATTTCGTTCGTTAGGATAGGCGGAATAAGAGGAGAGGTTGTCTGGATTGCTAGTTCGTTGCTTTCGCATTTTTCTCAGGATTTTTTCGTACGGCGAAATATTAAAAAAAAAAAAAAAAAATAATGTAATTGATCACACGTTGAAAGAACAGGGTTGGAGCTGAATAATTAGGAAGACGTAAACGTTTTAAAAAGTAAATCAGCAACCAGTAATCAACTTGTGAAATGATCATGCGCCCGAAAAACGCATCGTTGCAGAAAGCCAGCCAACAAATCCTTTCAATTTTGCTTGGAAATTCTACCATCGAGCAACCGAGAGGAAGACCCGCAGAAAAAGGGGTGGATAGAGGCACCTCAGAATTTTCCCTTATCAAATCAACGGGTGAACGAGCGATGATCGGTCCCCGAAGAGAACGGAAGAGAGAGAAAGAGGGAGAGAGAGAGAGAGAGGGGGGGGAGGGAGAGGTTGACCCTTGGCGAGACTTCTCTATTCCCCCTCGGAACGTACTCTTTATCTACCTACCTACGAATACCCATACGTAACCGGGTTGAAGGGTCTGAATTTGCATTTTATTCGCAGTTGCGGACCGCGGGTTCGTGGGTAACGTTCCTCCGCGGCACGGACATTTATTTTAATTAAATTACTCCGGAGCGTCGAACAACCCATTTCCTATAAATTATCCCCTCACCGGTCTTTTGGTCTCTCGCGCGTCCGCTTGGTCGGTCGCGGTGGCGCGCGAGCGCCTACACCACGACACCCAGCCAGGCATTAATGTACCCGCTGATCCCACGGTGCCATTGAAATGAAATAAAAGCACAGCCGAGAACGAAACGTTCTGCCCATTCTCACCGTGGCGAGTTCGCCATGCCGCTTCCCTTTCATTTACCACGTAATCATTTTCCACTAGCGCGCGTATGTACGTACACCGATTAACCCGCGGGACGCGTGCATGCTCGTGGTGGTGAGGAAGGCGCACGCGGCCCTCCCCCTGTACAAGTGTGTATATTGGTATCGCGGGCCATAATTTAGCCGGAGCTTAATCGGTCCGAATCAAAAGTTCGCCGGAGAAAACGCTTTCGCCGTAATCATCGTAAAGCGAACGCGCCGTGCCGCGGTAATGGTCCAGGTTATCGAGCAACTTCTGCTTAACCAACGGCCAAATGTCATTCCCGTTTTTCACGGAGCCATTAGTCAGACTAAAAGTGATCGGAGCCTTTTTCACGCGATTCTCGTAATTTCTTTCATTACTTGGAAATTCAAGCTTATCCGCGTGAACGAACTTTTAACGATCAGGATTTTCACCAGCGACAAGAGTGTAGTGTAATTGTGAACGTGCTAGTGGGATCGATGAAAAGGGAACGTTTAATGCGTTAAATTCGTTGACGATTGGATTTTCATTTGGTTGTGCCATATTCTGTAAGATTTTTACGAATCTCAATCGTGAGGATTCGTTATCGTTTTTCTTTATGTATGTATATAGAAGAAATATGATATTTTAAAAAGCTACATCTTTTATTTCTAAAAGAAGTAGCATGTACTATATCTTGACAACAATTAAATAATTTAAATAAATTGAATAATTGAACAAATGAGAGAATGTAACAAAATCAGATTATTGCAGTAAACAATTATAAACATAATAAATCAACTGTACTTAATCAATATACTGTAAATTTCTTTACGAAATACACAATTCCGATGTATCAATGAAATAAATTTTCCTAAAATCTATGATAAAGTTTGTAACAATTTTAAATACTGCAATATACATAAACACTGCATCTACTATGTATTAAATAAATCTAAATATATATGAACACAGTACAACGAAGCGCTTGCGCGCATTTTAAGAAACGTTGTGGAGGTTAGGTCTGTATACAACAAACCATTCGACGCAAAAGTATACTGCATTGTTCATTTCGATTTATTCATGTATAAATCACGCATCTATCTAAATATCTATGTAAATATCTATCTAAATTAAATATTGTTGACTTACTTGATAAGGAACATTTCCGTTTTCACCACGCGTCGCCGTAACGTTTAATGTCATGACACAATACTCTTTTGCATTCCATACGTAGAGCACGTTGTCACGTATTTCTAAAATGTTCCTCGTATCCTTAATATCTTTCGGCAAACTGTCCATCAAATCTAGAAACAAACGTTCTTCGTTTAAACGAAGTGGATCCGTATGCGAACTCATTTTCGTGGAAAACAAGGTTATAACACGACGCGCTACACTTGACGACAACAACGAAGTTCCTTCACTGGAGTATTTGGCGCGCAAGACAGCCAACTCTTCAGTATTACACACGTGTGGCAGCACTGTCACGTAAAGTTGATTATTCAGAGTTATAATAATTGCTAAAAATGACAAATAACAAAGATAATATAAAAACGTAAAGCTTTCCATCCTTTACTATTATTTTATAATGCGGATAATATAAATATGTAACCTATTGTGTTTTGTAATATATATTTTATATTTTTTTTTTATCTATAATAATATATATGATTTTATATAAGCAAGAATTTTGTAAATTATGAACTTATATTATGTATGAACATATCTCTTTATATGTAAATGTTTAAAGTATACATATATATGTTTATATTAAAGAAATATACGAATAGAAATAAATTTAAATAAAATCAAAGAAATAAATTTAACACGCAAATATATGTATTAATTATTAATTACTGTTGTGCGAAAAAAGTAATACTTCAATTATTTAAATAGAAAAATTGATAAAATATTTGAAAAATGAAAAAAAAAAAAAAAAAAAAAATGTAGAAGCAACTTAACTAAATCAATTGCTTCATCAAAGGCTCCGGAGGGATTCGAACCCTCGATCTCCTGTTTACTAGACAGGCGCTTTAACCAACTAAGCCACGGCGCCATTGGAAACAGTTTTTTTATTTTCACTTTTCAGATAAAAATTTGCAATGTAATTTGATGCATGCATCATTTATATTTTTCTTATTCGTTTGAATAACAAAAATTAAAAAACATGATATGCAGTATTTATTTCAATAGTTATTATGCTAGTAATTATAAAAGAAAATGGTGATAAATGAGATATTTCGAAGTAACATTTAATAATAATCTTCCTAATAAAGCAGCAAAGAATGATAATTAATATTTAATATTTCAAAAATCATGCTCAATACTTTATACTGATTAGCAATATTTATACATTTAATAATAAAATATGGTAGATGAGTAAATAAAGAGAGAATCAGAGTCTTTGAATTGTAAGACTAATATTAATTTATTTGAAAATGTTATTGTTCAAGGTTAGAAAATAATGAATAAATTTTATTTTTGTTAAAATTATCGTGTGTGTTAAAGATTTTAAAAATAAAATTAAACGCCCCCGGGTGGGCTCGAACCACCAACCTTTCGGTTAACAGCCGAACGCGCTAGCCGATTGCGCCACGGAGGCAGTTGATGAAAATGTTTTTTAAAACGATGACAGTTATGGATTTTTTCTTTCAGTATATTTTGTTACTAAACTGTTATTTAATATTAAATAAATCGTAAGAAAAACTAGAAATTATGTATATGAATTATGACTAAAATACAATAATAAAATGAATAACTGATTGCGAAGTACGATCGATGTCTGATAACCGGTTCAGACGTTTTTCGAATTTATTTCAAAATATTTTGTCCAATATTATTTCCGAAAATTTTCCTTTCTAATAATATAGAAATATAAAATTCTTGACTTTGATACGAATTTTGTGTACTGAATTGTATTTCGATGAAGGCGATAATTTATTTTTGTTTAACAAAAAAAAAAAATGAAATTAATAAATAGATATAATTCTCTGGTACGTGTACTGTGAAGTATAATTTTTATATAACAATTCGAGAGACGTGACGTTTTATATAACGTTGTGCACTTCGAATGCATTATTATAAACAAAGAGGAGACCGAACTGTGCCAGTCTGTACGTTCAATACAAAAACAACAAAATTTACAAATGCTTAAATTTGATTAAAATGCTTGACTTGTGTATCAGAATAATCCAATTTCCTCAAGCCTTATTTCTACCAGCCAATACAACACGATATACATGTGTTTTTTTAATTTCTACTCTGCATGTATCAACATCTTCGATGAAATATTTAAAATCATATTTCGAATGTATGTCGAACAGATGTGTCTTAGAATCGACTGCTAACGAAATACCAGGTCCCTAAACCGAGAGTGAAAGAAGGGCTGTGTCGAAAGAGGCACAATACGTGGTGTGCTAACCGGGAAATAGTCGCAGCAGTTGCGTCGAAGCTATATACGGTTAATTAAATGGGGTTGGCTCATTAGTAACTGTCTATATGCAAGGCGATGGCCGAGATGCGATTGGAGGGTGGTCCCAAGGTGATTTATCCGTCACGATGGATCGCAGATGTTCGACTGGTACGTGGCATGGGTCGTCACAATGCTATAATTAGGAACGCGTTTCGTTTATACGCATAATGAAGCCACGTTCCTTCTTTTTTGATGAATGATGAATTGACGAAAACGTTTGCAATTCTCACGTAACATGCATGCATTGTTTCAATGGACGATCAACAGCTGTACGAGGACTTCATCGAGTAAAAAATTAGTAAAATCTTATTCTTGTCGATATTAAAATTGTTATGATTCGTATGTTTATTTAGAATTTAGACACAAGATATCTCGGCTGAAATCATTATTTAACAACCGTGAGAAAAAAACTGGAGGTTCAGAAGAAGAGAAAACTTGATTTCCTACAGTAGCTCTAAGTTCTGCTCTTTCGCTATTTATTACGCAACACGATACAATTGATCCTAGCCTTAAACCAGCTTTCTAAGAGAACACTTACCAAGAGAAGACACTTTGGTTTGGGCATGCTGACATTAACGGCCCGTTTAAATTGTGCGTTTAATTACAAGTAAGAGACAGTCGCCATGAAATTTATCGGTCACTGTTACCATTCCCTCCGTTCCTAATCTACGAAGCAGATATCCACGGCTAAACACAAGAGAACAAGTCCTTTACGCGCAATAAGACGTTTCTCGTTGCTTTTTAGTGTCTGTCCTCGACCACGCGATTAGGTTTATGTGAAATTCATGTTTACGAGTCTTTGACAAGTGACCAATTGAAAATTTGATCGATCAGAGTTCGAGAAGATCGGTCTTCC